TGACGGGAGAACAGCGCTCAGCCTGGCAACGCGCGACGATGAGACGACAAGACTCGAGCAGAGCTTGTTGTCTTACCTTGAACCGCGAATAGCTGAGGAGTCTTCTGCCGTGCTAAGGAAGAACGCCGTATGAACATTCGAGAGTTGCCAAATTTCCTTCGATAAAATGTATATTTGGGAGAAAAGTTATCAATATTTTTCCTTTACATTTACTGAATCTTTAGGTAAAATTGTCAACTATATTGTGTGAAAAATTGGGAGGAAAATATTCATAAATTTACCAGGGAATTCACGTTTTATGAGAGGAAATTTGGCAACGCCTGAGGGTTCATACGGCGTTTTTCCCTAGCACGGCAGTCTTGTCCCATGTCCTGGACCCGGAGCCGAGACCGAGAGCACCAGATGCAGATGCGCCCGCACCGGCAATGGAATCCGCTGATCCAATTCCCCGCGAATTCCTCCACTTTAATTTACGAGGTTTCAACTCGGATTCCTCTCCTGTGTACCCCCTTTTTCTCTCTCTCTCCTCTCTACCATTGCCCCCTTTCCACTCACTTTTACTTTTAGCCGTCTCGCCGTTTGCTTTGCCTCCTACGCCTCAACGCCGCACAGTGGATCGAGTCAAAGGCAGAAATCTTCCATCATCTAAAATAGAGCCCTTTGTACCCAGAGCTACGACATCTCACTTTCGGTTGGGCTGAAAAGGTGGCCTAAAAAAAATCCAATTCTGATTGGTTCTCGCTCATGGAGTCACAAATGAGTGCACCAAAATGGCGGTTCCTCGAATGTGAACAAAAATAATGAAAATATAACCAAATTGTGGTTTAACTAGAATGAATTGCTATTTTCATCGCGCCAAGATGAAAATAGATTAATAAGAAATGATTCAAAAATCAATCTAATTTTATTTTATTGCAATTTTTTTAGTTAAGTTTTGATCAGTTTTGTTGATGATGTTGTTTTTGAATGACAGACATCGCAGGATTTCTTATCCTTATCCCTCAATGTCGTTCGTTCGGTTGCACACTTTTGTGGCACCATGGCCAGCCCAGGCCAGCTGATAATCGAGATGTCTTAACTCTGGGTATAAGGGGACTCTAGTCTAAAAACTTCAAAAGCGTACGTCTTTAAGGGTATGAAATGTTGACGTTTTGGGAGTTGTTTCATCGGGTTTCGCGTAAGTGTTCTATGGAAGTCCCCATTTAAAATTAAAATGGTGACGAGATAAATGTAGAATTTTACAATTTTTGTCACAAATTTCATGTCTGACTTCCTCCAAAGACTCGTTCCTCTGTGCGCCGCCGCGCCGAGTGTTGGCAACCGAGATTCTCTCTCTCTTTAAGTCGCGCGCATAAATGTTAAGTAAGCTTAAAAGCTTACCTGGAAAGATCATTGAACTTCGCATAAGATCGAAGCTTTCTTCATGCAGAGGATCAGGTTAACATTAATTATTTCTTTTGGCGTATCTTATTCTTACGGCGCGTTCTATCAGTCAATGAATAGGACACTAAACAAGATCTGAAGCACCAGAAAAGGTCACATCAACCATATAATATAAAAGTCCGCAACCACATATTTCGTTTGCGATGTTTGAAAATCTCCACTCCTGTTTTATTCTTTTAAAAGAGAAGAAAATTGACATCATTCTTCGAAGTTTTCGCAGAATATTCTCGGCACTGAGATGGAAAATCACGGCAGTTTTTAAGAATTGCCGATGAGTGGTTTTAAAGAATAAAGTATGACAGGAAGTCTGCGGCGTCGCAAACCGAGATACGTGCGGTTGCGGACTTACGCCGTCGGCATGTTTTCTCCTTAAAATCTCACACAGAAAACAATTTACACGACGGGGAGTTTTGAAATCAACGATCCTCAATGAGGAATTAACAAATCTCTTGAACACGGATCAACTTGGAAGTTCAGTTATACAAATGACGTCATTTGTAGCTGCGCCTTTTGACCAATGTTGCTAGGAAACACTCATGTCTTGTTTAAGAGTTTATTTCCAGACTTTCCGTTGTGTGGTTTTTTTTCCTTGTGGAATTTTGAAGAGAAAACACGTTGCGTTGTGCTTTAATTAAAACCTTGTCTTTGGCTCTATGGGTCCATTGAACACAGTTTGCTATAGGTGTGCCCAGCGAACACCTTAATAATCGATTCTTTACCATAGGTTTAAATGGCATAACAATCGATGTATCGCAATTCACGCCACGCCACTGAAAAGTTCAATTTCTTACAAAATTATGACTGCGAAATTTCTATCCAAAGTTTTCCTGATTTTCTGAAAGGAAATTACTGAAATTTCAAGTCAGGTACGCAAACTCCAAATAGCTCCCAGTAAAAATACATTCTGCGTGTGGACGTTCCGCAACACAGAAATTTGGTTGCGTCCTTTCGCGTCAAAAGCGACAGTCTATAAACCGCACGGAGTATTAAAAGAGAGAATAAAATGCAGACGACGAAGAGAAAAAATTCGCTTGGAGCAGTTACAATTCATTCGTCCAAGTAAGGAAATGGGCCCAATTCGAAAGGGGTCAAAAAGCTCGTTCGTGGCAGAGATCACGGCTCATTTTCGTTGCCGTTGGCGGGCGGAGGCCGGGCGACCCATTGACTCGCTATTCTCCCGTGCTAGGGAAGAACGCCGTATGAACGTCCGATAGTTGCCAGATTCCCTTCAATAAAACATGTATTTTTTACAACATTCATGCATGCATATTTCTCCTTGAAATTTTCAGATATTTAAGAATAAATGAGTCAGTTGCGCTGGTCACAGACTCGTGTTTTGATGATAGCTTCCTTGCAGATTAGCTAAAAATAAAAAGATTCGTCCAAACAGCAACTTTTTACGTCATTTTTGACGTCATCCACCGCGGCAGTGACATCCTTGGTTTCATCCAAGTTTCACGTTTGCTAACCGGTGCGTTGCTGACTGATGGAGGCAAGGTGAAAGAAGCCAAGGGTGTCACTACCGCGGTGGATGACGTCAAAAAACCGACTTTTCAATGGACGCTCCGTTAATATTGAACGTAGAAAGTTGCGGTTTAGACAAATCTTACAATATCCAGCTAATTTACAAGAATTAAGCATCAAAACACGATTCTGTGACCAGCGCAACTGACAAATTGCGGAAAAAATTGTTTGAAAATTTTGAAGAAAAATATCCACAATAGGGAATTTGCAGGTGTTAGAAATTCGATGAATTTCGTGTTTAAGTGGAAACTACTGAGTGAACTGCACACGTGGATACCCGCGGTTCATGAATTGAACAATTATTGGAGAAGATATGACAAAATGACCTAATCTGCTAAAATACGTGTTTAAATGGGAAATGCCGCCAGATGACGTTAGAAGGTGCATTTTCTCACTTTTACATACATTTTTATACTATTTCCCAAATCAGAAAAAAATATATCAATTACTGTGAAATCAGCTCTCTAAGCACTTTCAGATGAAGCAATTTTTATTGATGAATTTGCATGCAAATTCTCCATTTTCCTACACAGTTCTTTTTCTTTTGAAGGAAATATGCACTGGAAAAAAAACACATTGGATCTAGAGTCCAGACTCTTAAAAACATCGACAAGAAAAAGTACTCTTAATTCAATCAGAATCTAGCTTAAATCAGACACCAAGCCTCTTAATTTGAGCGGATTTCCTTATGATTCAAGCAAAAATCCGATTGAATCAAGAGTATTTTTTCTTGTCAATGTTTTCAAGAGTCTGCACTCTAGATCCAAAGTGTTTTTTTCCAGTTTGGCAACGTCTGAAGGCTCATACGGCGTTCTTCCTTAGCACGACAGTATAAGGAGCGACCGGGCCTTCGGAGGCAGCGCAGCGGGAAGACAAGCCAAGCGGGACCCGGGATCGTGCAGGGACACGAGAGAAAGTCAACAACTGCAAGAATGCAGTCGGAATAAGTTCTACGAGCACGTCCCACGCACCCGCCGAACGGTGCGTCACACACAGTCACAAGCCCTGACCGGGGCGTTAAGGACTGGCCGAGCGGCCACCGAACAGCGGGAAAATAACGTCGCATTGCAACGCCAACACCCACGCACCGAACATAGACTGATTTAGTGACTACGTCATTCGATTTAATATCAAGCTCTTGGTTTAAACCAAAACAAACTAACATAACCTCTTGTGCGAATGGAGATGTTGCATGTGTGAGGAATTTGCGATTTGACTGTTGATTCTTTTGTAAAAGTTCGCGAGAAACACGATGGTGCCACTGATTTTCTCTGAAATCAACTTCAAAGTTCAAAAAAAGTTCTCAAGTTGAGGCCAAAATGGAGGGGATATCCCACGCTATCCTGCGAGTCCAAGTCTACATCAAGACAAACTCTTCATGCAAAGATAGGGAGAAAATACAGTGACAGGGTTTCCGTGTTTTCAGTTTTAGAGTCCCAAATAAAGTGGCAGCCCTGTCAATGTATTTGCTCCCTAACTTTGCATGGAGAGTTGATCTTGATGTAGAGGTCTCAGGATATCGTGGGATATCCCCTCCATTTTGGCCTCAACTTGAGAGCTCTTTTTGAGCTTGGGAGTTGATTTCAGAGAAAACCAGTGGCACAATCGTGTTTCTCGCGAACTTCTACACAAGAATCAATAGTCAAATCGCAAATTCCTCACACATGCAACGTCTCCATTGTAAGAAACACTAGGACGCATTTTACCAGCATTGTGTAAAGGGCGCGAATCAGTAACAAGGTTCTATGATTGTTTACATTTGAAACGAGTGTTCGATACCATATCGGATGACGTAGCCACTAAATCAGTCTATTACGACCGGGTATACGGTGAAAAGGTGATTCTATGTGATCTAGGGGCGAGATTCGCCACTAAACTGCGCTAATATGCGTTTCGTGTCTTTGAGAAGCAATAATTATTGCTACGTTTCAGTTAACGCAAGAAACTGATCCATAACGTCGTGTAGTAGCAGTAATACTGAGTAGAATGATATCAAATTAGAAAAGATTCATTGTAAGTGTTCCGTCGTGCGTTAGTTACATCTTCACTGTTTTGTTTTATGCAAGAGTGAGAGGCGTGAAGCCAATGCATTTCTAAGAAGCTGGAAAGGGATGCATTTCAAAGCACGCTGCACTGCCTCGCGCAAAGGCCTTTGTTTCAAGGGTCACATCTGTTGACCAGATGATCACCCACCCTTTTCAGTTCCTCTGCCTTTTTAGCGCTCCTTAAATCAGTCGCAACCAACTTCTCACGCGCGGTGGAGCAGGCTCAACTGCCCTGCATTCCCTGTTTCTCTGATTAAAACAACAATACACTTTTTCGATTGAAATCAAATCCGTTTTCAACTTCCTATAACCCTTTGATTAGCAGTTATAGGCGTTCCGTTAAAGCGAACATTTTTGTGGTCCCTCGGGCCGGATGTGTTGAACATTTTACGCAAAAACTCAATCGTGATTTGCTCAATCGTGCGGCATTAATTCACTGAACAATCGGAAGAGTGAAATCGTGAATGTTCCGCCGTGTTGCTGAATGTGCGTCTCTCTGTGTGTCTGTATGCTGTTTTCATGTTAGCACTGACGAAATAATGTGTCTCGCGCAACTGGTCGAGCCGGAAAATTTTCTCGTGACATGATGTTAGCCTGAAAAGTTCCTTGTAATTCAATATTAATGTTAGATACTGTTCTGTATGAATATTATTGCTGTATGAAAGTTCGTGAATATTCCTGATTTCATGATAACTTAGCGTCACTGCAATTTTTCCGTCTAACAGCAATAATTCACTATGTGTCAAACTTAAGAACCTGTTCGATACTCGCGTTTGTCAAATGACCGTGGAGACGCGTAATATAACCTGTGAATACTGAAATTCAAATACTGATCAACAATGAATTCTCAAAAAACTCTGTGCATTACTTATTCTGGATACCTAACTCTTTTCTGACTGAGCAAATGAACATCCGAATTGATTGATTGACACTTTGATTGGTAAGCTTGTTCAAGTTCTTGAGTCATCAATGTTAATGATTTGACCTGAAAATCATCCATTTCATGTTTTTCTAATCCTGATTTACCTTATGCTCCATTTCATGTTTTTCTAATCCTGATTTTACCTTATGCTGGTTTTTTCCTAAACCTCTCAAGTTTTTCCTTAAGCGTTTCTTCCGTCTTCTTAACCCATTATCCATTATGCCTGGAGATGGTGAGACAAGTAATGCAACAAGGTTGAAAACTCTTCGTCGTCAGAGAGGTCATGTTCAATCTGCTATTACATCATTTGAAAAGGTTTTGAACAATTGGAGAGACAACGGTGATGATCGAGATGCTGATTATCTCCAAGTATCCTTGGAAAGTGTTCAAAAGACTTTTGAGAAATTAGAGCCCATCCAAGATGAGCTGGAGGAGTTGGATGAGGAAAATGAAACGCCGCGACGTGAAAATCTTCAAACTTCATTTAATTTGGTCGTCGCAAGAGCGAGAAAATATTTGAGAGAGACTTCACTCGCGAATAGTGTTGCGGGCTCGTCACAGTCTGAAAAGAGCAATAATTCTGATAAGGACAGTTCATCACTCCCTGTAAAGTTACCAACAATTAGACTTCCGAAATTTGACGGCTCAATTGAGCAATGGGCTTCTTTTTACGACTTGTTCACATCATTAATTGACGAAAACCCTGATTTATCTCGCGTTACTAAATTGCAGTATTTGCGCTTATCACTTAGCGAAAATGCTGCAAAATTGATTCAATATCTTGAGACAACTGATGATAACTATGAGATTGCTTTAAGTTTGCTGAAAAATAAATTCGACAGTCCGCGGCGTGCAATGAAACGTCACTGGGCAATTTTGTGCGATTACACAAAACTACTGAAAGACAAACCAATTGAGTTAGGTAAACTCGTTGATACATTCAATCAGCATTTAAGGGCATTGGAAAATTTAGGTGCTCCTGTTGATCAGTGGAGCGTTCCCGTGATTAGTCTGATTTTGAGTAAAATTAGTTCTGAGACCGCTGAAAAATGGGAATTTACTCTGAAAGATAATAGTATGCCACCTTACTCCAATTTATTAAATTACCTCGAAAAAAAGGCACACTCCGTTGACTTTTCGACCAGTTTTGAGACAAGTTCTTCAACAACCGAGGATTCGTCTCAGGGCAAGCAAAAATCCACTAAAAATTCTCATCAGAGGGATAAAAGCTTTTCGATCACGAAGTCTTCATCTCAACCGAATTCTTTCACAAAATTATGTGTTCTATGTACCGACAAACATCCCCTATATTTGTGCGAAAAATTTAAGAAAAAAACGACGGATGAAAGACGGAAATTTGTGAGTGAAAAGTCGCTTTGTTTTAATTGTTTAAAGGCAAATCACGGTCGTGATAGCTGTCGGTGCCCTTTCCGCTGCAAAAATTGTGGTGACAAACACAATACACTACTTTGCTTGAAATCTCCTGACAGTACTGAGAGTTCGGGAAAAAATGGTGCTAGTTTTCTGGTGCACTCAATGTCTAGCGACCTGATAACTACCGCAATAGTGGATGTTGTGAATCAAAGTGGACACGCGGTCCAATGTCGGACTTTGTTGGATACGGGCTCGACAACAAATTTTATGTCGGAGCGGCTCGCTAAAAGGCTCGGTCTAGTAAAGGCTAAATTTTCACAATTTGTCGATGGCTTAAATGGCATTAAAACAGTATCGAAGGGACTTGTAGATGCTGTGATTCAATCAAGATGCTCTGGTTATAAAAGGGAATTAAGCTTTCATGTTGTAGAAACAATTTCAAATTTTGTTCCGGATCAACCAATTAATAGAAGAGAATTGGCAATCCCGGCAAATTTAAAATTGGCTGACCCAGATTTCCATCGCCCTGCCCCTTTAGAAATGATACTTTCTTCGGGTGTTACACTTTCACTCTTTTGCAAAGGGCAAATAACCTTATCTGATGTAAATATTGACCTTTTCCTGCAAAAAACTCTACTTGGTTGGGTCATCGGGGGGAGGGGTCCATCAAATAACCCTGCACCTAACCCGTGCTGTCATTTGACTACACTCAATTTTGATCTTGCGAACTTCTGGACCATGGAGGAGGAGCCTAAGAAAAAATTTCTCACTGATGAAGAAGCCTTTTGCGAGGACCACTTCAAAAAAAATGTGACGAGAAATGAGAATGGTAGGTATTGCGTAGCCTTGCCGTTCAATGAAAGGCTCCCTGAATTAGGCGAATCAAGAGACATTGCATATAAGAGGTTCTTAAATACTAAACGTAGATTAGCAATGAATCCTGAATTAGAAAAACAATACAATGCTGTTATGCAAGAGTATATTGATTTAGGCCATATGTCTCCAGTTGAAGGATCAAAGATGAGTTCTGAAGGGTATTTTTTACCCCATCACGCTGTGATAAAAACATCAAGTTTGACGACTGCCTTGCGAGTCGTTTTCGATGGCTCTGCTCAAAGTTCAACCGGTATTTCACTGAATGATACGTTGTCAAATGGGCCAGTCATTCAACCCGATTTATTTACGCAGCTATTGAACTTCCGTAGGTACCCAGTTGTTGTAACAGCTGATCTGGAAAAGATGTACCGGCAAGTGCTGGTCCGTCCTGAGGACCGGAAATATCAGCAAATTTTTTGGCAAAATAGTGAAGGTAAAATCGTGATCTATCAGTTGAACACAGTCACTTTTGGCTTGACACCGGCGCCATTTTTATCTATTAGATGCCTTCATCAGTTATCTGATGATGAAGGTGAACATTTTCCATTAGCTGCAAAACTTTTGAAGGAAAACTTTTATGTAGATGATGCTCTTTTAAATTTTAAGAACGTCGAAACTGCGAAACAAGGCGTAAATCAATTAACTGGCCTGCTAATGAAGGGTCAGTTCAATGCCCGTTCTTTTGCCTCTAATGTACCTGAAGTATTAAAGGGCATCCCTCCTGATAAAATAAATCGTCACCTTATCTTAAATGATACATCCACCATTGGAACGCTAGGCGTTAAGTGGGATTCATCGAATGATAGTATTCTGTATTGTGTTGACTTGCCTGACTCCCCACGGCAAGTAACTAAACGCATTGTTTTGTCTGAAATTTCAAAAATATTTGACCCGTTGGGTCTTGTGGGACCCGTGATTATCACAGCAAAAATAATTATTCAGGATTTGTGGAAATTGAAGTTGGGCTGGGATGAGTCATTGCCTATGAGTTTGCATAGCTACTGGCAAAAATATCGTCGACAACTTCAATCACTAAATGATTTAAGCTTTGATCGTAAAGCAGTCATTAATGAGCCAACTAATATTCAGATCCATGGTTTCAGTGATGCGAGTGAGAAGGCTTATGGTGTTTGTGTATATTTGAGATCAGAAAACGCTGAAAAAACGACACAGGTTTCTCTACTTTGCGCCAAATCTAGGGTAGCTCCTGTAAAGGTTGTCTCTATACCCAGATTGGAGCTGTGCGGAGCTTTGCTGTTGACTAATCTGATTGACAGCATAAAAAATAGCATGAAATTACCGTTCGATGGAGTGACATACTGGACGGACTCGACTGTAGTACTAAATTGGCTTCAAACATCACCCGCTCGACTTAAAACTTATGTTGCTAACCGGGCTTCGGAAATTCAAACAAAAACTGAATCGAACGAGTGGCGAAAGGTAAAAAGCTGTGATAATCCCGCAGACCTCATTTCACGTGGTTTAATGCCTAAGGACTTTGAAAATGCTTCAATTTGGCAACAAGGTCCACAGTGGCTAAGTCAACCTGAAGAAACATGGCCAGTCTCTGAGTTCTATTATGATTCTGAAAGCATTGAGGAAGTAAAGGCCTCTAAATGTTTTCATTATACCCACATTGATATTTCTCTGTTTGAAAAGTATTCTTCGATTTTTAAATTACAAAGAATCATAGCTTATTGCATGCGCGTGAAAAGGCGTAATTACATTGCTTCGAGAATGATAACTGTACCTGAAATGAATGAGGCATTGAAAGTTATAGTACGCCAGATTCAGAGAGCGTCATTTCCAGAGGAAATCAGGCAATTAGAAAAGGGTGAAAATGTGCGCCCTCAAAACCGCCTGAGTCCACTGACCCCATTTCTAGACAAAGAGGGCATCTTGAGAGTTGGGGGAAGGCTCCAAAATGCGGCTCTCCCATTCTCACAGCGTCATCCAATGTTAATTCCAAAAACACACCATGTCACACGGCTTTTGATTGAGGCAGAACATCAAACAAATGCCCATGCGGGTGTCCAGTCAACTCTCTACGCATTGCGTCGGCGATTTTGGGTAATCGACGGACGTAACACTGTGCGTAAAATTATAAGACAATGCGTGTGTTGTTCTAAACTGAGCCCTCCCTCACCGGAGTATTTAATGGGTAACCTCCCGACTGCACGCGTGCAGCCCGCGAGACCTTTCACTCAGGTCGGAGTTGACTATTGTGGCTATTTTTACATAAAGGAGAAAAAATATCGAAATAGAAACAAGTTAAAGGTTTATGTTGCAGTCTTTGTGTGTTTAGCAACAAAGGCCGTGCACTTAGAATTAGTATCTGATTTAACTACGGTTTCATTTATTGAAGCTCTCAGGAGATTTATAGCAAGAAGAGGGCTTCCTGCGGATATCTTTTCGGATAATGCGACCAATTTCGTGGGTGCGAAGAATCAGTTAAAAGAGTTGTACACTCTTTTGAGTGATCAAAAACACCAAACTCAAGTGAGTGCATTTTCTCTCAAATATGAAATACAATGGCATTTTATTCCGGCTCGCTCTCCGAATTTCGGAGGCCTTTGGGAGGCTGCGGTAAAGTCTTTTAAACACCATCTGCACCGCGTCATTGGTACCGATCTTTTTACGTATGATGAGTTTACAACCTTTCTGTATGAAATTGAAGCAGTTTTAAATTCCCGTCCATTAACTCCTATTTCCTCTGACCCAAACGACCTCCTTGTCCTCACCCCAGGTCATTTCCTGATTGGTGACTCATTAAAAAGCTTGCCCCATGAAGATTTCAGAGATGTCAAAATGAATCGGCTTTCTACCTGGCAACACATCCAACAGGCGAAGCAACATTTTTGGGCACGATGGTCCCGGGAGTACCTCAACGAGCTCACTGTGCGCCACAAATGGACAAAAAATTCACCTAACATCAAAGAGGGGACACTAGTTATGTTGAAAGAAGACAATGTTCCACCTCTAAACTGGCCTCTAGGACGTGTAGTTCAGTGCCACCCAGGAAAAGATGGCGTCACGCGAGTAGTCACTGTTAAAACAGCGCAAAACACCCTCAAGCGCAATGTGAGAAATGTTGCACCTTTACCGATTGATTCGGATGAGTCTGAACGCAACTGAAAACTGTACCTCTAATTTTGATTTAATTTTTATTCAATTTTTATTTTTAATATTTTCACATTTACTTAAAAGTTTCTGTTGTTTCACTGAATTTGAAAAACTGAGAACTGAACCTCTAATTTTGATCTAATTTCCATTCAATTTTTTATTTTAATGTTTTCACATTTAATTAAAATTTTCTGTAGTTTCACTGAAATTGAAAAGAAATTGTAGACCTACTTATTTTAGTATGTATGTAATGGGATTCAAAATTCACTGTAGTTAGATGTCTTGATCGGCTGGGACCGATCAACGGGGGGAGCCTGTTCCGTCGTGCGTTAGTTACATCTTCACTGTTTTGTTTTATGCAAGAGTGAGAGGCGTGAAGCCAATGCATTTCTAAGAAGCTGGAAAGGGATGCATTTCAAAGCACGCTGCACTGCCTCGCGCAAAGGCCTTTGTTTCAAGGGTCACATCTGTTGACCAGATGATCACCCACCCTTTTCAGTTCCTCTGCCTTTTTAGCGCTCCTTAAATCAGTCGCAACCAACTTCTCACGCGCGGTGGAGCAGGCTCAACTGCCCTGCATTCCCTGTTTCTCTGATTAAAACAACAATACACTTTTTCGATTGAAATCAAATCCGTTTTCAACTTCCTATAACCCTTTGATTAGCAGTTATAGGCGTTCCGTTAAAGCGAACAGTAAGTTTATACCTGAAACTACGATAACGGACGTCGCCCATTGACTCAATGTGTAAGAGAGAGTCATTATAGCGTTATCTGTCTCTTACGCATTGAGCCATACTTGTACAGTACTTTTTCAGTACATTCCCAAGAAATTCAGTGCCTCCTCGCCAGAACAATTCAGCACTTTCTCAGTGACTCCATTTGAGGAAATTCGGGAATTTTCAAAAATTTGAATTTCTCCCTTAAGTTGCGACAAAATTGACAAAAAAATGAGTAGAATTCCGGACCTTCTTCTGGAATTTCCGCACCTTTTCAGTACTTCCGGACCGCCCTCGTAAAATCAGCAATATTTCCGGTTTTAAGTAAGACAGTAATTAGACACCCTGTTATCAGAACGGTTCGGTCGTACCAATTTTCTCCCCGTACAATCGGCTCTGTTCCTATTCCTTCAAATAGAGTTTTTTCCCTGTGGACGAGACGAAGCTTTCTAGTTCCACCCCGGAAATGTGATTCCGAGTAGCTTCGCGCTGGCTCCGATGACGGAAGTGGAACAGACAGGCACGCGTCGCGATGGGTGTAACCGAAGCTGGTCGATCCTCCATTCCTCCATCGTCATATCGTATGCTAAATACACCTTTCCGCCGGTGAAAACTCGTAATTCAGGTTCTTTTGCTCGGTGTTGCAACAGGGGAGGGAGAAAAACGCGTTGTTGTCAAACTCGTCGACGTTATAAAGCTTCGTTCCACTCCATTCCGTCTTGAACAGGGAACTTTTTCAATCTCTCCGCGAGATGCATGAACTTAAGGTGAATCCAGGCTTCGAACTTCGCGATTTGGCCACCACGTCGCGCTGCTCAGAATAGCCGTATATATTTACTCAAATAATTAAAACCGTAATACTTGTCCAAGATTGAGGATCCAGGAGATATAGCAACATACTTAAGGTACACTCGGTAAAAAAATCTTCTAAATATTCCCAAAAATAAAGTCTTAACTACGGCGGAAAGTAATTCCCATTGCTGCAATGGGAAAGAGAGAGACAGAACATTAGGGATTCCGTTGCGCGCTCGGCCGCCGCCTCTGAGCTAAAAAGTTTCAGCCGTACTTTCTCTGCGCTTTTAATTCTAATTGCCAATATTTTTGGCTCAAAAAATCAAGTAAATATTAATCTATATCTTGTGGATCTGCTTTATGTAATTGGAGGAATATTATTTCAGTAATCGTCGAAGGAAAGTGAAATTCTCAGTGGTGACTGGTGGCGCTATCTCTAATCTTGAATTATCCCTAATCGAACCTTGGATTCACCTTAACGCATCATATAAGTCTGAAAGGAATCTCAAACTATACCCCACGTGTGGTCATTGATTGCACGATTTCGGACATAGACTAGGAAGATGAGTTGCATCAGATTCATGTAGAATGACACCGCTCAACCAGGAGAATCGCTCCACTGTCTCTCATGTCTATAGCTTTGTCTATCATTTTCAATTATCAGCCATGCACATCTTAAAATCCGATGAAACTTCATTTATTCACCGCTGAGAGCCTCCATTCATTGATACTATTTCGTCGACTTAATCAACGCATCTCATCTCAATTCAGAGACCCTGTACGTATCCCGACATGACAACTCAGCGTGGCCATTATTGCTGGCAGTTGAAACAAGCGCGCATGTAAACACCCGATTGTTCACTCTGCGCCGCCGTTCCTCGTGTTGAACTTTTAATACCCGCTCAAAACTTTCAGCGGAACGCATTAATCCCCGTAATTTATTCTCTAGTGGACTGCAGTTAGCGAACCCTCAGAGCCCAGCATAATGGAGAATCGATGGCCACTGCTATTGACTCTCCTCAACAGGTATTCGTCCTTTGGCTGACGGGAGGACCCAACTCGATCCATACATGAGCTCTAGAATTACGGAGTTACATGGGCAACACGGTGCATTTTATGGGTTGCGATTGCGGACTTCAGTCAACGGAGTGATGTGTTGACTGTGGTTAAGAGTCGCTTTGAAAAACGACATTTTACGCCGAAATCCTGTTAGCGCACGGGCGTTTCCATTCCATTCGCATGTTACTGCTGACATATTAATTTTCCAAAACTCTTCGCCTGGTAGAATTTTGTTAGACCAAATTCAAAATTGGAGTATGGGAGTCCCTGAACATTGCCCTTTCGGGGAACCAGAGAATTAAGGATGCATTTGTTGTACAGTGTGTTGATTATTGAAGTTGATAGACAATCCGGTAGGCAAAGAGGACAAAAGCAGGGTGTATACAAAAACAGACTGGCCAAAAATCAGTACTTTTACGGTGCTTTTCTGTACATTCTCGAGAAGCTCAGTACTTTTTCAGTGCCTTCTTTGGACGAAATTCGAAAAATTTCAAAAATTTAAATTTCTCTCTCGAATTGCGACACGAATGAAAAATTTCGGACCTTCTAATGGAATTTCCTCACTTGGTCAGTACTTTTGGACCGCCATTAAAAAAATCAGTACCATTTCCGGACTTGTAGACACCATGCACAAGGTAAATAAAGCGATCCTATTTGTGGAAGCGGGTGGTTGCAATGGACGAAGGAGGTAAGTAATAGACTAACTAACGCGCGGCAACCCACGAGAGACCCGGTAGTATAGTCAGTCCATCATCATAGAGAAAAAAAGGAGGTGTTGCCCCCTCCCCTTACACCGTTCGCCCGAAAGAAGGAAGAAAAAGGAAAGAAGTTTGTTATTCATGACGAAATTGACGCAAAGTGCCTTTTAAACTATTTTCAATTTTGAAAATTTTCCAAGGGAACCTTTTCCGACCCCCCGCGAAGTATCGAATCTGGGCCCTTCTACGAAGTGGGACTTTTTTAATCACGGATATTACATTTTTTCACTTCAAAGTTTTGTCAAAGGGGCGAGTATTTGGAGTGAAAATATTTGAAATATTCATAAACCCTTGAACGAGGGATTCCTTCCTTTCCTTCAAAGTTTCATCTAAAGAATCAAGCCTCAGAAAAAGCTACTCCTGGAAAATAGAGTGTCTCGGACATTGCATAAATAGGACCTAATTTTGTAATGTCCTTGACGCCCTTTTTTAGAGCATAGAACAAAGGATTAGAACATAGCAACATGGGATTACAACCGTCCCTAATCTCGGTTTCCTTCCTCCATTTTTTAGTAACTGGGTCACGAAAACCCGAGACCATTTTGAAGCCGCAGTGAAAGCTTTGCGGGGGCATATTTCGGCCCACGGAAGGTCATTTTTAATTGAAATCGTCGTGCATTGTTACGGTTTGAAGTGAAAGGAATTTCATAACAATAGCGTCGTGCTTTCAGTATTTGACTTGGGAATCATCATCCATAAAGACTCTTTTGTTTCCCGTTATTGAATCGAGTTGAGGTTATCCTTTATTAAGCCAAGTTACCTCGAAGAATCTTGACCCCCTTCTGTTAATTATTATTGTTAATTGTAATTATACGTGTCGGGTCTAACTCGCTGCTAACTCTGTCAGGAGTGATGTTCAGTTGTTTGATAATCCAGAGTCATTCCGCATCCAAAATGAAGTACCATTCGTTGGGGAAGAAATCGTTTCATTTTAAATTTCAAGGGGCCTTTCTGCCAGAACATTTCACGAGCAAACCACTTTTAGAACCTCGAAGTTTTGTATAAACAGAGTTATAAGCGTTTAAGTTTCCAAAGTTGGCCTATTGGCTAAATCCACCGTGCGTACCTCCTACACCACCCTTTGGATCCTCCAACCTCACTTTCTTTATTAACCGAACTTTCGCATTATTTACTCTGTCAGTGCTCTCTTTTTGTATACATGTGGATTTTTTCTCTTGATCGTGCGGGCGATTTGGCAAGCGTTGGGCGGAGCCTGGACAGCGCAAGTGGACGGCGAGAATGGCAAAAAGTAGACTGGCGCTCACTGGGCACCGGCCTGGCCTGGCAATGCTGGCATCGAGTGAATGAGAGTGAGTGCCAAGAAATGCCCGGTCCGGCATGCGCACGACACGGCATTGGCCGTTCGACTCTGAACACTGAACACTCTACAACTGCTCCACAGCTCCGCCGTCATCTTCGTCGCAGCGTCACACCCAGAGACAATACATTTGGACTTATTTCTACCAAACAGAACTATGTGCGAGTGGGAAACGTGGGGTGTAATCGTGACGAGGTGGATGAGAAACAATGTGATCAGTGGCGTAAGGCTCCATTCAGCCTAAGATACCTGTAAGCCAATCAGAGGTCTTAACCACAGTGGCCATACTGGTACGCTATAGGATTGGCCCAAAATTAGCTTCATTTCGGTCGATGTGATTCGATCGAATCCGAATCCCAGGGTGTCGACGAAAACACGCTGGCCAAAAATCAGTACTTTCCTGATACTTTTTCAGTACATTCCCGAGAAATTCAGTACCTCCTTAATAGAAAAAGTCGGTACTTTTTCAGTATTTCCAATTGACGAAATTCGATAAATTCCAAAAATGTGTATTTCTCGCTCAAAATGCGACAAAAATTACAAAAAATGGAAAAATTCCGGACCCTCTTGCAGAATTTCCGGACTCTTTCAGTACTTCCGGACCGCTCCTAAAAAATCAGTACTATTTCCAGACATTCCGGAAATTCTGGAGTCGTAGACACTCTGATTCAGCAGAGCGTTTATCTCTCTTGGTTTAGAGCCCTGCCGATCTTGAAAAAGTTGACCAAATCCACTTGCGGGAATGGAGATGTTGCATGTGTGAGGAATTAGCGATTTGACTGTTGATTTTAATGTGAAAGTCGCGAGAAACACGATGATGCCACTGGTTTTCTCTGAAATCAACTCCCAAGCTCAAAAAAGCTCTCAAGTTGAAGGCAAAATTGAGGGGATATCCCATACACGCTATCCCGAGAGTCCACCTCTACATCAAGACAAACTTTCCATGCAAAGATAGGGAGCAAATGCATTGACAGGGCTGCCAC